GTTTACCATCTTCTCCAAATTGCGTTGAGAAGGAAACTTTGCTTCTTGGCATTTCTTCAAATATCGTTTGATCTCGGTTTTTTCTTCTAAAGGTACGTTGCAACATCCTTATTTTTGCATGTGAGATGCTCTTTCATTCTTTTCATCTTTCTTAATGACTTCGCTACAGAAGTTACACTTGATGTACTTGTAACCTTTTTTTCGCCTTCTCCAAACACTTCATGCTCTACACCGTACTTCCACAAAGGGTCCTTTCGTGAACCTGCTTTGTGTCTGGTGCTAGTCATCATTCGAACTTAACTATTTGAAGGCAAACACAACACAATAAAAAATATACACAGCTATAGATCGATACACAAACATATACACATAGGCTGCATACCATGCTGGACAAAAATCAGAACATTAGATACACACATGCTTTGACAGATTTCAGAATTTGGTTTTTAGAATTTAGATACACTGATACACTTATGGACATAATATACATACACATATATATGGATTATTTGACAAATTACAGAAACTTTGCATGTGATGGATTGAATATTTATGAAGAAACAGAAACTTCACATAGCTAGTTTCACATATGCTGGACTGAATATATATAGGATGAAACAGAACAAAAAGAAATTTGCTAGACCGACTATTCACGTAGAAACAGAAAAAAAATATATGCCAGAGATTTTAAAAACAGAAAATTATTACAGAAAACTTTAGATATGATGGATTGAATATTTATGAAGAAATAGAAAAAGAAATTTTATGCTGGATACTAATTATTCACGATGAAACATAAAAAAATATATGTTGGACTGAATATTCACCCAGAAACAGAAAAAAACCAAAAAAAGTATTATATGCTGGACAATTTTAAAATCCTGGACTTAAACTCTTATTGTGCGTGCGTATCTGAACAGAATATTCAAGAAGAAAAGAAAAAAGTTCATACTTATGTTGGACAAAATATGCACTAGGAGTATGAAGATCATGGAGTTGGTAAGACAAAAAGAAGATAAGGCATTCATAAAACAAACCTGATGAGTGAGAGCGTTGAGTGAAGCTTCATTAGAGGGAAGAAAACAAATGTGGGTGGGTCTTGAAAGTTGAGAGATCTGCCGAGTTGTTGGAGAGATAAGGTATGGTACCAAGCACCTTTATTTGTGAAGATATGGTATAAATAAGAAATTAAGTACAAGCTAGGTTTAACTTTGGAGTATATGCTGCAGATTTGTAGTCCTTTTTTATGAGGATTATGTTTCTTTATTTCAAATATTCCATTTTTTTCATAAAAAACTAAAGAAACGCATACAGAAATTGAACTTTATTAGAGGCGTATGCCTCAGGATTGCCTCAAAGCCTCATGCACCACCTCACCCCATGAAGGCGTACTCACACTCCTAGCCAAAGAGACACCGCCTCAAGGATGTTTTTTTGACCACCTCAACCGTTTTAGCAACCATGGGCTTGAGGTAGTAAGACCATGATCAATAGCAGGAATAATGGCAGAGAACTCCTTGCCATATCTGCTATATTTGAGCCTGGATCTATTGAGCTTCTCACTTCTACTGGCTGTTTTTCTTGAACAAGGATAGCCCTAATGCCAACACCACTTGCATCACATCAAGCTCAAAAAGCAAATTAAAGTTGAGGCAAAGCAAGTATAGGAGCTGAACTCATCTTTTACTGAACCCAGCTGTTTGGGCAGATTTAGACCAATCGAGAAAGTTCCTCTCTTAAGGCAATCAGTAATAAGAGCAACAAAAGTAGAGAAGTTTTCTAAAAACCTTCTATAAAAAGAAGCTAGGCCATGAAAACTTCTTACTTCTGTGATTGAACTTGGAATTTGCCAGGACTTGATTGCATCCACTTTGGACAGATCCATGGAGATTCCATGCTTTGAGACCACATAACTAAGAAATTCAGCTTAAGGAATCATGAAGTCACATTTTTCTAGCTTGCCATACAGTTGGTGCTTCCTCAACAGATCAAACCCCTCTCTTAGATGAGCTAGATGATCTTCATCAGATATGCAGGACACGAGGATATCATCAAAATATACAACCACAAATCTCCCAATAAGTGGCCTTAACACTACATTCATCAACCTTATAAAAGTGCTACGATTATTGGACAACCCAAGTGGCATAACAAGCCATTCAAAGAGACCACCCTGGACTTTAAAGGCTGTCTTCCATTCATCCCCATCTATCATTCTGATTTGGTGGTATCCACTTTGTAGATCAATATTGGAAAACACACAGGACCCATTTGGTTCATCCATCATATCATCCGACCATGGAATGGGATATCTATACTTGATGGTGATGCTATTAATAGCTCTAATATCAACACACATACACATGGAACTAGGGCTCATGCTTGGCCTCACATAGCCTTGAGCAACTAGATCGTCTACCTCCCTAATGCAATTTTTAGCCTCATTAAGGGAGCAGTCCTTGTTGGGAAGTATTGACCCCATATAAGGTCACTTTGATGCTCAATCTCTGTGACAGTTGGTAAACCGCTAGTTCTTGTCTAATAGTAAAGCGTTCACCAGTTGAGGAACCTCAACATTCTTTTCTGCTTCATCATTCTCAAGTATCAAGACAAGAATACAAACAGGGTATCACTAACTCATTTTCAGCCTTAGTTTGAGTCATGTACAATGCACGTTCATTCTTAGTCTTAGTTTCAGCCTTAAGACGCTTCATTAGGCTTCAAAGGAGAGAGTGTGATTTTCTTACCACTAACATAGAGTGAATACGTATTTGAGCGCCCATTACGGTAGACATATTTATAAAATAACCAAGTCCGACCCAACAACAAATGACAAGCTTCCGTAGGTACAACATCACAAGTAATCTCATCATGATAAATGGTGCCAATGGAAAAGGAGCAACTACTTGACGAGCAACTTTTACCTCATTTCCTTGATTGAGCCATTGGAGTTTGTAAGGATGGGTATTTGACCGTCTCTTCCCCAGGGATCCCCGATAAGGGACATGCCGCGAATCCTCTTGAAAGAGAGTGCAACTCGCCTGCATGAAGCCGGAATAGAGAGCCCAAGTTTCTCCATCATATAGGTTGAAGATGCATTTGCACAACTTCCTCCATCTACAATCAAACTACACACCTTGCCCTTGATGGTGCATATTGAATGGAAGGTGTTCTCCCTTTGAAGTTTTTAATCTGAAACTTCAATCGTATGCAAGGCTCTTCTTATCACCACAATCAACCTATACAATTTCCACTTCAACAGAGTCATAATACGCATGTTCCTCTTCAGTATCAACCTCTCTTTGCAAGTTCTCAATCTCTTTCAAGGTAAGGGCTCTTTGGTTGGGACATTTGGCTTGGAAATGTCCAAAACCATGGCAATTGAAGCACTTCTTCCCCTTGAATTCTTGAGATGTTTCTCCCATTTTCTCCTTATCTTTGGAAGGCTTGGAGACAAATTCGGTCTCCTTAGGAGTACTCTTTACAGGAACCGCGGGCTTGTAGGAACTGTAGCCAACAAATCTTGCACTTGTGTGTTTCCGAGCCTCCTTTACATTATTATGAGTTTTCCACATTTTCTACTGCTCAAATTCTCTAATATGTTCTAGAACCTTGTTAGTTTCTTGCTTTAGGCTGCTCATTTGGATGTAGAGATCTTGTTTATAAGCATGGAACAAAATGTTTTTGATTGAAAGTTCAACCTCCTTTACATTATTTGTGTGCATGGAGGTTGAATACATGATCTCTCCAGCAGTGGAAACAGATTTGATTGAAAGTTCTAAGAAGAAAAAACTGGATGATGAGAGTCCCAAACAAAATGCATCAGATCTGGAGTCTTGGAGTAAGGTGGAACAAGATGATGCAGAAAGACATGGGGACGTTGCTTGATGAAAACGAAATGTATAAGATCTGGATTGTAGCATCAGATAAAATGGAAATAATGAGTGGAATGAACTGGAAGCCAAGACTATGATGACTGCAGGCGGCAATTTCTGCTGGTTGTGTAGTCTGCGATCCCAGAACCTTAGCTTCATAAACCATGAAACAGTTAAGATCCAGTTGAATACCAATTCATAGAGACGCAACTCGCACACTGATAAAGAGTCTTGGAGCGGTGGAAAAATTAATTGCAACAAGGAAGTATTTCTAAGACTAATATAAGTAGGATGCCTAAACCTAATGTAACTCTCTTTAACCTATGCCATATGTGTACCCAACAGTATATGTTACCAGCAGAGTTTATTGGGATTTAGTTATTCTTTATATCTGACAAAAAGCAAGTTCCATCTTCAAAAGTATGTACTTCCGGTTTGGCAAGATTGAATCTTTCTGAAAAAAAATGTTCCTGATTTTTCTTGACAATCTTGGGAGAACATCCACAGTAACATTTAAATATTAACTCTTATAATAGACGATCCTAAAGTTGCAATATGAACTTCGAAACAATGTTCTGAGTGATAAAAGGTAACTCTTGAAACATCAGTCGAGCTATCTAAGAAAATTTCTTTCTATTTTTTATTCCCGAACATTGCTAGCTAGTAATATCAAACTGTTGTACAACTATAACTTTGATATTGTATCGATGGTTTAACTTTATAGTTCTCCAAAATTGAACTTTCGGATGCATGTATGACCATATCCCCATGTATAAACCACCTTGAGTGCATATGGATGATATCTGCCTTGACTTTCTGAATTTCAAATACCATTTCCATACCTAGCTGAATGTATGTGTACCTGTTTTTTCTATATAATGTGGATACTTGGTTGATGTATCTATAATATATCGAGGACTGCATATTGCTTGTATACCTGAATGTTGTTCTTTTTTATCTCTATCCATCCAATTAAGTTATAAATACATTTTCCTGCTTGATGTGATGCAGGATGCTTTTTTTTTTTGCTTACTATTTGAGTAACATAGTTTGTCAAGGAATTGATATGTTGATAGTTTGGTGTACTTAGTTATGTTCCTAAATTCTTTGTATCTTGTTGTTCAGGAGTTCTACCAGGCCCTTCATTGCTAGAGGAGATCCAGGAGCAAGAAAATGTACTACAAGAATGTGTCAACCAACTTGAAACGGCTGAAAGGACTAGAACGTCATTGATTTCCCAGCTTAAAGTAGCACTACAGGATCAAGTATGATTTTATATTAATTCCTTGGTCCTATAAAAAGGATTTGTGATTTAACCTTGGGGTGTCAAGTGACTTGCTTCTACCATGTAAAGTTTATTAGACTTGTTCTTATTGTTAATAAAAAAAGATTATTACATTAAGCCATCATAGGGTATTACAATATTAACATATGAAAACTAAAAACCTGGCATTGATGTCAATTTTGAATTTGAAAAGCAGAACTTTAGAATTAACAAACTCAGAAATCTACTCGTTTTAGTTGTTTGCTCAAGATTACAATCGCTTCGAGTGATTTTACGCTCTACATGATTAATTTTTTGTCATGATTCATATTTCAGGAATTGAAGCTGGATGCTATTCACAATCAGTTGCAGGTAATCTCTCTCTGCCTCTCTCTCGCTCTCTCTCTCTCTTTCTCTCCATGCTTTAAGCTGTTTATATTTTTGAAATCGATAGTTACCTAAAATATTGGGAACTTAAATGTCATTAGATCAGTTATGGTAATACTGTATATTTGTGAATGTCATTATGCCCCTTAACTTTGCAACTTCCGTAGGTGCTAGATTTTCTTTCTATAATGTTTTTATGGTAAATAATGATAAAAGCATTTATTCATAGCAAAAGTTCAATGAAGCCTCATAAATTAGGATGCCCATGGTGGTTATAAATGAACTCATTAATATTTTGATTCTAATATATACACACACACATAGGAGCAGGTTCAAATGAGAAGAGGGTAAAATAAGAACCATTTTTAATTTTCTCATGGGGTTCTGTTTTGTTATGTCAATTTTGGTGGCAAGTACACATGCCTTTTGCCGATTCTGTTGGAAGGACCCTTCTTGCCTTCCACCCTTTTCCATCTACATTGTAGAGTTCTTTGGCAGACGGCCAACATCAAATTGATGCAACGAGCAACAGCTGGACAGGATCGTGCGTTTTTATCTGTTCTTGGCACTGAACCATAAATGGCTTACCTGCAACCGAGTTGTTTCAAATGCATATGCAGGAGTATTGGAGAGGGAATATTTGTCTTCAAACTATCTGGTGTAAATACTCTTAACAAATATTGCCTGGTTTACCTAGCTTTTTTGGCTGATGGTACCATGTCCACGAAGCTCAAGAGAGGACTAGGAAATACATAGCTTAAATTTTAATCACAGTTTTTTCCGTGTTCAAACATTTTATTACACTTATAGTATATCTTTACCAGAAAGATGAAATGATTGTGATGGTTTAGGATCATAAATGTTTATGTTTTTAACTAAGATCCTGAGGAGGTTGCTGATGATTCTGCAGGTTGCTCGACATCAAATTGATCATGCTGTGAATTTGAGGAAGAAATTAGTATCACCTGCAACTCAAAACCAACCAGGTGACATGACAATTGTTGATGGCCAGTCGATGTCTTTTGGAACTACACATGTTACTGAAGAAGAGAACAAAAAAGCTGCAGCAGCCGCTGTTGCTGCAAAGCTTGCTGCTTCAACGTCCTCTGCACAGATGCTTACATCTGTTCTCTCTTCTCTAGTTGCAGAGGAGGCTGCCTCAATCAGCAGCGGTGCTGGATTCTCCTCTACCATGTTCTCTCCAGAAAAAAGACCTAAGCTAGAAAAACCAATGTCAGTGTCAGATTTAAGCAGCAATTCTGATGCTGTTAGTTCAGGAGGGTATTTTAACCAAACATCATTTCCACCACCTCCTCCACCATCCATAACTTCTCCAGCTAATAATCAATTTGTTCAGTCTTCTGGTTTAGTGATGGGGGGGATGCCTTATGGATATGGGGGGGCTAGCAGCAGCCTACCGCCCCCACCCCCTTTGCCATCACATATTGCAATGGGGTTGATGAGGCCTGCCACCCATCACCACCAGCAAACTGCCAGTAGTGGATACTACAGGCCTCCAGGGATTGGATTTTACGGGCAAAGCCATCAGCCTACACCACCACCACCTGTGCCTCGCCAGTGAACTCGTCCGTTTTGTATATTAATAATAGGAATCTATCTAGACAGATAAAATACTAGCAGACAGTTTATTTCACTGTATTGTGTATTGGTATCCCTGTGCTTTCTATGTTGCAATATACTCCAGGTGAGGTGTAACTAACTGCAAGTAAATTTAACTGTGCCTTATATCGTATTACTCATAAAGAGTGGGCCCTTCTCATTATATTCCTAGGGATCCTGTTATTTGTCTATGCGCATTCGTAATAGCAAAAGCAGCAGATGTGATATTATACGTTTTGTCCTTGTGCTTTGTTGAAAATTTCTCTTTTCATCCTTATGGTTTTGAAAATACGATTTTACTCCTATGGTCTATAATTTATTACCTTTTTCGTTCCTATGGTTTACAATTCATTTCCATTTTAGTCCTTCAAACTTAAAGGTAGTGTTTTGGCCTCAAGGACGAAAATAGAAATGAATTTGCAAAACCATAGGGATGAAAATCAAAATTTCAAAACCACAAGGATGAAATCTGAAATTTTTAACAAACTGCAGGGATGGAAAATGTAATTTACTCTACTATAAATTACGGTCAAAGAAATTTTTTGGTGTGAACACCTTTTGTTGATAAAAAAAAAGAATCTGCATGATAAATTGTGGAATGATTTCTTGGGAGATTTGATCTTGTAATTATCAATTTATCGTATCGTCACTTTTTGGTGTGAATCTTTTGTTAAAATTGATGAGTTTATTAGTTTAAACTAGTCAAAATATGTTTTCGGGTAAATTACACCGTTGGTCCCCTGTATTTGCTAATCTATAGGCCTTCGTCAAAAGAACCATTCCAGACAATCACCTCGCTCCTTGGAGTTGATAGATGACCTCTTTCGTGGTTTACGTTTGGTCGAAACCTGATCCGTTTGCTCTGGGGTATTTTAGTCATTTTATTAAGGTCTAATTCGGTACTATTATGATCCGATTAGACTTGTTAAGCAGGAAGAGGTCAATTATATCCGTTAAGACAAAAGGACTGATTAAGGACCACTAAGGCCCGTTATATTTCAATTAGACATATTAAGGTCTTATCAGACTCATTATGACCCATTTAGTGTAGTAATGACACAACTAGACTCGTTAAGAAGAAAAAGACCCTCCTCACAAAGGCAAAAGGACCCATTAAGGACCACTAAGACTCGTTCTATCTCAATTAGACCCATTAAGGTCTAATCAGATTTATAATGATTCATTTAATACCAATGTGACCTAATTAGACTCGTTAAAAAGAAATAGGCTTATTACATCGACTAAGATCAAAAGAACGCATTAAGGATCAATAAGACACATTCTACTTCAATTAGTCTCGTTAATGTCTAATCAGACTCATTATAACCCTTTTAGTGCCAATATAACCCAATTAGACTCGTTAAGGAGAAATAGGCGAATTATATCCATTAAGACCAAAATCACCCATTAAGGACCAATAAGACTCGTTCTACCTCAAATAGACGTATTAAAGTCTAATAACTAATTTTGACCTATGTAGTGCCATTATGAGTTATGACTCAATTGGAGTCGTTAAGGACAAATATACTCATTATACCCACTAAGACCAAAATGATCAATTAAGGAACACTAAGACCCGTTATACCTATCAAAAGGCCTTTGGTCTAGCGGTTGTGAGTCCTTGGCATCCTAGGAGGTCAAGGGTTCAAACTTCACCAAAGGTGAGGAAAATGTGTGAGTTTATTTGAATCACTTTTGCTTTCTTTTCCTGTGGCTACTAAGATGTTTAGGAAATAGTTTTTTTGTTTCCACAAGGAATTGTGATGTCCAAAAAATTGGATCTCTTATAAAGATAACTAGCCAAGCCATTGGAATTTTTAGTTTATACATTGAAAAAATCCGTTTTGTTAGTATATTTGCCGTATATAAATATTATATACTTTAAAAAAGACCCGTTATACCTCAATTAAACCTATTAAGGTCTAATCAGACTCATTTATGATCCGTTTAGTTCAATTACGACCCAATTAGACTTGTTAAGAAGAAAAAGACCCATTATACATACTAAGAACAAAAGGACCTATTAAGGACCAATAAGACCTGTTCTACCTCACTTAGACCTATTAATGTCTAATCAGACTCATTATAACTCATTTAGTGCCAGTATGATCTAATTAGACTCGTTAAGATAAGTAAATCCATTACACCCACTAAGACCAAAAGAACCCATTAAGGACCACTAAGACCCATTATGCGACAATTAGACCTATTGAAGTCTAATTAGACTCATTATGACCCCATTAGTGCCAATATCTTGTTAAGGAGAAATATGCCTGTTATGCCCACTAAAGACCACAAGGATCCTTTATGACATAATTAGACTTGTTAAGGAGAAATATGTCTGTTATACCCACTTAAGACCAAACAGATCATTTATGGCTTAGTTAGACTCGTTAAAGAGAAATATGACCACTATACCCACTAAGATCAAGAGGACCCTTTAAGGACCACTAAGATTCGTTCTACCTCAATTAGACCCATTAAGGTCAAATGAGACTCATGATGACCAATTTTGTAGAACTGTAGGCTTGTTCGTGTTCATTCGTTTAACTTAACCGAAGAAACGAACAAACACAAACGGTAAATGAACAAAATTCTTTGTGTTCATATTCGTTCAGGTAGAAATTAGGTGTGTTTTTGTTTTCGTTCATTCGTTGAAATGCTAAACGAACGTAAGCGTATGAACATAAACAAACGAATAAACTTAAACCAACATAAATGAACATGCCTTAACAAAACATAAACGAACATAAATGAACACTACTACTTGTCATTTTGTTAACTATTATACACATATTAGCCATAGTTTAAAGATAAACAAAAACAATCACTATCCATCAATCATCATCGTCTGAACAAAAAAACACAATTCACCATCATCATTTGTCTAGCTTCATTACTCGTGGAAAATGTAATAAAAACATCATCCATCTTCAATTCTCATGGAAGACCAATATATATCATATCATCAGTTCCTATAACAAACAGATAAAATAATTTTAATTATTGTAAGAAAACATGTATTTTAGTTCCACAACAACCAAGGAACCTATTTATTATAAAACAAACTAAAACAATTTAGCACAAGGACTTAAATACACTATTTTAGTTCCAACATTCTCCCCCTTTGGACTCAAGTCCAAAAACAAAATTCCTTCAGAACTTCAGATCTTCAGCATTAATCTTTAGAATTCATTAAGAAGCTTTGACTTTCTCAGATTTGATTTTTCACAGCTTTTAAACAATATCCCCCTGTATAACAATCTCTCTCTTTACTTGTCTTTCTTCAAAACTTTCACAGATTTAGACAAACTCCCCCTTTAAACAATCTCCCTTTAAATTCGTTTATTGATAAAAGAAGATCAATACAAAATTAACAAATTGTTGCCGAAATAGACAAGGCAAAGACATAATCTAAACAATCTAAGAAACACACAATTTAGCACAGAGAAGATTAAGAACAAGAAAGAAGATAGTTAGAAGATGAAGGCGTTGCTAAGAAGAGGGATCTTCTTAGCTTTTTGTACCCATTGCATTTAATGCAAGTCAGAGAATATAAGCCACTGACAAACTTCTAGATGAGAGCTTGTACCTTTGTCTTCATGACATGCAGGTTTTTAGCCGCATATGAACAATTGACCTTTACAAAGTTGGTAAACACATTTAAAGACAATAAAGTAACTCCTTATGTGTACCTTTCTGTGAGAGGTATGAGGTTATACTTTTTGTGCATAAAGATAAGACAAAAACTAATCTTGTAGAACAAAATTCATTTGACCGCTGATACTGATTCATCTTGAAAAGTTCTTCAGTGTTCGTTGAGTCTTGGTCATATTTCACACTTTAATTTAGACATTCCGTTATCACTGAATCCACTTCAGATCACGAACTGTCATGTCTCTTTCTTCAACTACTTCTTTTCAAGAACGTGTTTAGTGATCACTGAACAGATTCACAAATGATCACTAAAGCTGAATTAAAAAGCACAACAAGTATTTTTCACTAAGTATGTAAGGTCATAATCAAATCACTGAAAGAGTTTGGATCAACAATGAATTTATTTAATTTGTATGAATGTTTTTGACTTGGATATAAATTGGGGTTTATGAGTTTTGAATTTTCATAGAGTTTTTGTTTTGGGTGGCGGTGGCCGCGGTAAGTGGTGGATGATAGCGATGAGTGGTGGATGGTGGTAGGTGGAGCTTTGGAACAACGATGGATGACAGTGGTGCGTGATGGTGGTGAGGATGAATGTTCTTGAAAAGGAAGTGAGGATGAAGATGGGGTAAAATGACCAAATTGCCCCTCACGTGAGGGGCACATGATAGAGTTAACGGAGCCCCATCTAACGATGCTAGTGGGAGTGACTTATTTGGGGCTTCAAAACATGATTTTTGGACTACTTGATTTCGTGGGACGAAAACCAACAAGAAGGTATTCACGAGGAATACATATATAATTCACTTTCATATCATATCTTCATCGATGAAAAACTTTGATATTAAATGTTAACGAGAGAAAATAGTTTTTGATTAAATATATATATTTTAATAATATAAATAATGTTGTAATTTAAAAAAACCTAATATGAAATTTGTTGAACATGTTTATACCAGCAACCCCTTAATTTTGTCACCATGTTAGATAATCTACATTACCTTATAAACTAGATTTATTAAAAGTTGTAAAAGCAATTTTTAATGCACAAAGTACTATACATTTATGCACAAAGTTTTAAAAGTCTTAAAACAACTCATAATGAATTAAGTACTAATACTTTATGCATTTAATATTGAAATATTTTAATTTACAATTAAAATAACATATAGTACAAGTTATCAATGCACATACCTTTTCTTTTCATGTTCACATGATACTTTTGACAAATTTCACTTATGTTTTTACCCTCTCATACTTCTATGTCTTCTTCTCATCCCCCAATACGAGATTCAAACTGATATTCACCATGAGTTATTAAAAGTTCTCTTATTCATCCCCTATTCAATTGCTCTAAAACCCCCGGTCTCGCTCTCGCTCTCGATTTCTTGATTCTTTGTTTTTGGTGTAAATCGAACACATTTGTAGAGTCGTTTAAATATATTGAATTTTAAATATATTAGATTTTAAAATGTCATACAATTTTTTCCATCGATAGACTGTAATTGGAACCATAACTCTTATTTATTCAAATTGTATTAATACGTAAAGACCAAATGTAACTTATATCATCATTAAATTTTCTTTAATAAAACTAGTGAAATTCAAAATCATTAAAATTCTCGACTCTCGTCGCATTACGCAGATATATAACTAGTAATTATATATAAATAATTTATTTATAGGAGCATAAAAAAAGTTACAAAATGGACCATCAGGGGATTAAAGAATACTTCACCGAACTCCTAAAAAGATGAATTCTCCGGCGACGGTCCATTACACTCCGGCAACCATTTTTCAGAACCCTAAAAAATTCAGAAACATCAAATTACCATACCGTTTTGTTGAATCATCATCTTGTTGTACAAATTCCACTTTCACCACCTCCGCTACTTCTAAAAGAATTGAATTTCAACACCAAGCATATAGAGTTTGGAGTTCTTCTCGTTTGCTTCGAAAATCTAGGGTTTCTTCGGATGATACGCAACCTACTGTTTCTTTTAATGAGTGTGAAGTTTCGGAGCCGAGCTTCGAGGAGTTTATTACTTCCGAGAGGGTTAAAGTTGTGGCAATGGTGGCGTTGGCGCTGGCGCTTTGTAATGCTGATCGTGTTGTGATGTCTGTGGCGGTAGTTCCGCTTGCTCAGTCCCGTGGTTGGAGTCAATCTTTTGCTGGTGTTGTTCAGGTAATTCTTTCTGCTCTGTGTATGTGATATAAGCTCATTTTGTGATTGATATGGTTGTTGTTTTTATACTTTGCTCAGATTACTATTCTAGGGCATAGGCCAAACATTAAATTTGCAATGCCCAGTGGCATAGTAGTGTTCGGCTGATCCTTGGCCTAATGATGGAAAAATCATGGACAAATGTAGGATTTCTTTATCCTTGACTTTTTTTCCCAATTCAAGTGATGTGTAGGCTACTCCTGGGTACAATGCATGTTGTGACATGGACCATTTTCATAGCAAAAGGAGAGCCGTGGTTTCTGAAAGCCTTAGACGTTATATATAGATGGACCGTTGGCTCCTCCTTAAAGAGTATTCTGTAGTAGTGGTTAGAGATGAGCAAAAGGCCCAGATCGTTTGAACCAGTCCCTGACCAGACCATGATTTCACGGGGTCCTTAATCGGGCCAAACTTTTTTGAGACAGGCCACTCCTTTTTAGGACCAGACATAGCCTGGATTGGATAAAAATATGAGCCAGGCCAGATTTATGGACTGGTCCGTGCCCATATTTAGCAGTCTTCTGTGTGGTCTTGTTATTTCGGTATACAGTGTTAAGAACAATTATGCATTCTTGTTTACAGGTCAGAGCACATGACAATATTTTTGTATCCATGTTCTTTGTTCTTGTATGATAAAGTCTTGGTACATCTCTCCTCACTGATAAAAAATATATGTAGTAAATAAAAACCCATTGTTTTTCACGAACTCCCAAATTAATTTAGTTCTGATAGATTTCGTTGGATGCTTCTTTTAGTATCTTTGCTGGTATAAGATCTGATCTTTTGAAAGTATAATCAGGAAGTTGTAAAATTCCCCTGTTATAGTTATAGTCAGGAAGAACGCGTAAGCATAAGCTGATCAGAAAAAAGGAGGTGTGACTCATACCTATGAATCTGCAGCTGATAGGGAAATGCCTTTACCTCTAAGCTCTTATTATTTCCCACTCATTGGTTAATTTGTTACTGAATGGCAATTGGCATTTAGAGATGTTTATGGTAATTATGGAGGGACTTCATTAAATCTACCCATAGAATGACTGTCTCTGATTTCAATTGGATAATTGAGAGAATACATATCTTCTTATCATGCAAGATTGTCTTTGTAAGCAGCCTTAGGTTATCTACTTATGTCAACGCGAGGCCTGACACAGAGGAGTCACTTGAAAATTATGTTTCGTGTGTGTGATCTTGTATATGTATCAATTAGATTCACATCATTGCTGAATCCAGGTGCTAGTCACTATCCCAGTTCCTTCAAGTACCTTGGTTTAGACTTAATGATTTCCTAGGATTTCTCTCTTTCTTTGCTAGGAATCTGAATGTACGTCTAATATTTAAGTCATGAAATATCTGGATTGTAGGAAGTAAACTGGACACTTCTTTCATTAAAGTTGCTCTACTTGTTCTGTTTTCTTTCTGATTGGTGGCACTGATGGCAGTCATCATTCCTTTGGGGATATCTGATATCACCAATTGCTGGAGGGACTCTAGTGGACTATTATGGTGGTAAAGTAGTCATGGCATGTGGTGTAACCTTATGGTCAATGGCCACATTTCTCACCCCTTGGGCTGCAGAAAGTTCTCTTTGGGCACTACTTAGCATGCGTGCTTTGCTTGGAGTTGCAGAAGGTGTAGCACTTCCATGCATGAACAACATGATAGCCAGGTAATAGCTTCTCCTAAACAAACATGTGCTATCGAGATTCGAGATAGTCCGTTTCAAGTCACACGTTCATAACATAACTCCATATGATTGTTGTCTGGTGAAACTAAAAAGGCCTAGAATCTGTTTGAAAATTTCCTTTCAGATGGTTTCCACAAACAGAACGATCCAGGGCTGTTGGGATTGCAATGGCTGGATTTCAGCTTGGAAGTGCTATTGGACTTACACTTTCTCCTATCCTGATGTCACAAGGTGGTGTAGGAGGACCATTTATAATATTTGGATTATCTGGATTTCTCTGGGTGTTAGTATGGGTATCTGCAACATCTAGCACTCCGGAGCGAAGCCCTCAGATATCAAAATATGAGTTGGAATATATACAGAGCAAGAGGAAGAAATCCGTCAAGGTCGAGAGTCAAACGAAGACGGCCAAAATAATCCCACCCTTCAGGCGTTTGCTTTCTAAGCTACCAACTTGGTCCCTGATTGTTGCGAACTCCATGCATAGCTGGGTAGTCCCTTTTTCTCTCTGTACTTTACTGTATGCCATAACGTTACGGATGTTTGGAACTAAATGTGGCTTGTCTTGTAGTTGTATGCAATTCATTCTTTTCAAAAATAACGCCTCAGTTATGTTTCATATGGAAGTCAATATACATCTTTCTTCTTTATGTTAGTCACATTACCTTTTATCATTGATAAAACTATATTCTTGCATTAAGCTTCTATTGTTTTACCACAGGGATTCTTTGTTATTCTTTCATGGATGCCCATTTACTTTAAAACAGTAAGTCTTAAATACATACAGTGTTTTTCTCTCCATATCTCACTAAACATGTCCTAAAATTGTGGGTGTTTTCTTTTTTGTTACAGATATATCTTGTTGACCTCCGACAAGCAGCATGGTTCAGTGCTGTTCCCTGGAGTATGATGGCATTAGTAGGCTACTTTGCGGGTGTCTTTTCTGACAAACTGATTCAGGGTGGTATGACTGTCACTTTGACTCGCAAGATTATGCAGGTGTGTACGATGAATTGTTATCCAATTAGATACACCATTACAACATTCAGATTCTTTATGCGAAAAGAACTAACAGGAGTGGGTGGTAAAAATAACCACACTAAATTATCATATAGTACTTGATCTTGTTTAGTTTCTGTACAAAAAAATTACACCTCATTGTTTTTGCTTGGATTCTTCTTTCAGTCGATTGGTTTTATTGGACCTGGTATTGCTCTTATTGGTCTGATTATGGCAAAAAGCCCAGTAATGGCTTCCGCTTGGCTTACATTGGCTGTGGGGCTAAAGTCTTTTAGTCACTGTGGCTTCCTTGTGAACCTTCAGGTACGACCTTTTTTCTTGCATCATGACTGAGGACCTTAGATATTGTCTCACTTGACGTACATCTGTAATTTCTTTTGAGCAGGAGGTTTCTCCACAGTATTCTGGTGTTCTACATGGTAAGTGACCTAATCTTATGATTGGCATATCGTCATATGTTAACAGAACAGAATGGTTTGCGTTACCTATTTCTCATTTGAAACTGATTCAAGGTGGGAAATGATATTTATTTGCTCATCCACCTTTCATGAACTCAAGGTTTTTGAGCTATTTTCGCTATTCCTGCTGACATTAGTTCACTTCCTATCAAATATTTAACAAAATCCCGTTATGCCATTAATGTGGCTGGCCGTAATCACGACAAATAATTGTTCGCTTTCTACCCTTCTCTTCAATTCAATAAATAGGTCGGTAGCCAAAATGAAGGCAAAATGGGATTTATGAAAATATAGTTGATGCAAAATGAAACAATGTTTTCAGAAGTCGATAGAACCGCTCAAAAACCATTTTTGGGTGGCCGGTCTCCACGTTATTGGTTTTGACAGGTGAGTGACCAAACAAATATTTTTCTTGTAGCCCCAACATAACACACATTGGCAAGTTGAATAGAACACATACAAATGTTGTTCTTGTATGCCTGGTCCACCCGTTATTGATCCAGATACGTTCTTGTTTTATAGGTATATCAAATACTGCAGGCACGTTGGCTGCGATAATTGGGACCGTTGGAGCCGGGTTTTTTGTGGAACTGGTGGGTTCTTTTCAGGGATTTTTGTTGCTTACAGCAGTTCTATATTTCTCAGCTGCTCTGTTCTGGAATCTCTTCTCGACGGGTGAACGGGTGAATTTCGACGAAGGTAATTAGTTCCTTTCTTATACTCTTGTTGTAGATATGATCTTGCATAAGTACTTGTTCTGTAAGATCAGTGAAGCATCTTGTACATGCGAAATGAGAAGGGTATGCCATTATTGTGTTGTGAGATGATCATGGTGTCCTTTGTTGTGCATTCATTCTTTCATTTTTCGTCTTTGAAAAACTAGCCTATTTCCCTTGTAGGATCTGTTAAAGGGTTGTTTGTTTACCTCTTAATAGTTCAATTAAGAGGTAGTCTCTGAATCATTAAGAGGTGAGTATTGTTTGGCAAAATAAAGTATGTCTCTTAATGGTTCTAAAACCTCTGAGGGATTGTTTGTTTACCTCTTAATAGTTTCATTAAGAGGCAGTCTCTTAATCGTTAAGAGGTGAATCTTGTTTGACAAAAAAAATAATCTGTCTCTTAATGGTTATAAAATCCTCTGAATGATTTTGTATCGTGAGTCTACCTAAACCATTAAGAGTCATAATTTCATTATAAACAATTACCAAACAATTATATTTCATTTTGCATTATATCATGAGAGTCTCTTAATCATTCTGCACCAAACTATTCAGCAACTGTCAAACAGTCCCTGAATGATTTTGTATATTGAGTCTCTCTTAACCATTAAGCTTCCTAATTTCATTGTAAACAATTACCAAACAACAATATTTCATTTTGTACTGTATCATGAGAGCTCCTAATCATTCTGCACCAAACCATTCAGCAACTGTCAAACAACCCATGTCTTACTGTCTTTTAGGCTTATATTTTTTTTAATAAATAGAGTATCATAAATTAAAAATATCTACAAAAAAATTATATCCAACTTACACATATACTCTATTTTAGAGATTTAAATATTAATTTTATTTTTAAAATATTAAGTTTTAAAATTCCTTCTCGTTTTCTTTAATTTAGAGAACATTTTAGGATAGTTGTTGGAGAAAATAAACCCGTATATCTCCAAAATCTTTGCTTTGTCACGGTTACTAGAGATACTTTTGGTTACTAAAAGTCCGACCGCTTGTCATATGTTACAATTTTTTGAATATGGACCAATCAAGGGAGCGGTAACCATTTTTCTGGACTATTTGTTTTGTTTGAATATCGTGTTTTCATCTTTAAAACTAACGGTTTACCGTTACATATAAGAGTCAAATAAACCATTACATATAAGAGTAAAAAACAACAATAATTTATAAACTACGGTTGGGTTCACGTGAGATCAGTCTATTTTTGTAAGACCTGTGAGACCAAATTTTTACACTTGAAGCTTCACAACAAAACGCTGTGAAGGTAAAAAAAACCCGAACCTTCACAGCAAAAACACTGTGAAGGTTACCTTCACAACATTTCACTGTGAAGTTTCAAGTGTAAAAATATGGTCTCACAGGTCTCACGAAAACATATTAGTCTCACGTGATTCAAGTCTTATAAAATATACAAACAAGTATCATAATTTCAACGAAAAAACGAGTTTATTGATTCTTTAAAAAGGCTCGTCGTTATCAAAAGATTATTCAACTAAAACAAGAGAGTTCCATGCTTTTGGTTAGTTGGTATTGTCCTTTCCAAATTAAATTGGGTGGTGACAACTATTTAATTATATTATAAAATAATAATATTAAGAATCATTTAGAAAATAAGAACAAATTACATAAATTATTTAGTTTTTATATTATTAATAATGCTTTAATTTTTAAATTATTTTTTTAAATGAAAAAACCATTAAACTTTTTAATTTTAAATGATCAAATTCCTGAACTATTTTTTTTTAATAAAACACCCATTAAACTTTCACATTTGTTGAATGATTAAAACCTTGATCGAACAGTTACTGATCAGTTAGGGCCTGTTTGTTTTTTAAAATTTGCTTCTTAATTTCCTCTTATGTCTGAATCGGTCAGATATATGGACTTTCAGATCGTTTGTTTTTCCCCCAAATTAAGAGCTGAATTCATAAGGTTTCCTCTGAATTTTTAAGTGGTAACCCTAGCTCTTAATACCTCTTATTTGTTTATCCGCCTCCTTACGTCGCTCTCATCCGCCTCCTTTACGTCGCTCTCATCCGCTCTCGTCCCATTCATCGATTGAAGCTAGTGTTCTTCATACATCGCAGATTCAAGCTGGTGTTCTGATAATCTTCTCGATCTCTTTTTGGTTTCAGATTTCAGATTTCAGACGTAAAAACAAACAATCTGACTGATTCAGATTTCAGACTTCAGCACCACCTCTTAAAATTCAGAAGTGAATTCAGACTTCAGACTTCAGCACCTCTTAAAAAACAAACGCCACGTTAGTGTAACTTTTTTTTTACTAATTTTTAAAAGTGTAATGATTTATATCAATCAAAATGAAAGAGTTTATTGGTTTTTTCATTCAAAAAGAGAAGTTTAATACTTTTTTTCATTTCAAAAAATAGTTTAGAAATTTAATTTTTCAAAATAAGAAAATTAAATGGTTTTTTCATTCAAAAAATAAGTTAACGACTAAACAATTCAAAATACAGAAGTTTCTTAGATTATTTTGAACACCATAATTTTTGAATATATATTTAAAAGTAGATAATTTAAAGAACTTATGATGCGAGTCAAAGTAAACGTGTTTAAATAAATATTCTCTTATTTATAGTTTTTTTTTTGTGTTACTTCATCTATACTATATTATAAAGTATTTAACAAAAAAAATTAAAAATTAGTTTTTATACATGAAGTATTGTTTATTGATGCATATTACTTAAAATTCAAGATTACAAGTAAATAATACATAATTACAACTTATTAAAACTTCGAACTTGAATTTGTGTAACTAACTACAGATAAGCATAATTTAATATTGGATAAATATTTCATTTTAAATATAAAAAATTTAAAATATAATTAGGATAATCATTATTTTCTAACAGAATACTTAATTATTATCTTTATAAAAATTATATTATTAAATAAAAAATAAATTATTTTCTTATTAAACCTAAATTAAATTATAATAAAAAAAGTTGAATGAAAGAAATTACACAACAAAATAAGATTTTTTTTAAATAGTTAATTTGATATTAATTTTGATACGTTTTTAAAAAAAATTAAGATATCTTCAAATTTATATTTTATTCAAAAATAAAAACATTACCGTTTTTCTGAAAACCACATAAAACCGTATTATAACATCGACAGTGTGGCAGAATAAAATGAAACATTAAAATCGGAATGTATCTCGCTGCGTTGCGAGTACCCTTCTAGTAACTAAAAATGTATTCATACAATACAGTGAAATGTTGAAATCTTTACATTGTTTGTCTTTCTCGACTTTATTTTATGGAGAATTCTAGAGATGGATCGATTGTTATTTGTCTTAACCCATAAAATATGTACTTTAAACTAAAGTACATATTTATATTATATTATAAAGCATTTAAACCGTATAGTATATTTATAAACTATATAGTATATTTATATCTATACTATATTATAAAGCATTTGGCTAAAACTCTTAAAAACTCTTAAAAACTCTTAAACTCTTAAAACTCTTAAACCCGTTCATCCCTAAACAATTTCATCCCTATCTGATTTCATCCCATAACTGAATTCGTGTAACTAACTGCAGATAAACACAATCAAATACAGGAT